TTACCTGGTAAAATGCAACCATCGTTTAGTTTGTTTACGTGTGGTGGGGTTCGGCGTGGGGAACTCCCATCTCTTCCCAGCCATGTGGCCAGTTTGGACGAAAAAATGCCAAAGTATCCTCCGGGGAAGGGGTTCCACTCGGGGCTCCACTCCGATGGACGCGGCCTTCCATCAGCGTTGAGCGTGAGCAGGGAATTTCAGGGGCCACGCCTTTTTACCATCTTTACCTTTTTGGCAGGATGAAAAAAAAATCCAAAAAGGTGGGGGGGGGGGAAGGCTACTTTTACCGGCAGCACACTACGTATTTCATTCCGCGGGCGTAGCATCCGTAAATATTGGTTGTCTTGCCCGCAGTGAAATATGGGCCAAAAATGCCCTTCCATAAACTTGGCAATGTGCCAAGCCCCCAATCCCCCCCAACCCCCCCCGCGTGTGGGAGTTATGCGGACCACGTTTTCGCATAAGTCACCGCGTGATAGTTTTGACAAATGATAAAAGTGCTTGCGTACGAATGGGCCGCGTGTCGTGTGTGGAACGGCGTAATTGTAAGCGGAGGAGAACGCAATGCTGAAGGAGTTCCTAACTATGCGTAGTAAAAACTATTAAACGAAAGTAGATTTTCATTTCACCCGCTAAGCCCACTGAGCTCTACAGCCCTTTTTCAGAAAAGACATCGCCACAAATCTTAGCTTAACAAATCGGCTTTTCACCTGGAAATTTATAGCAGCCAAATACTCTAAAAACGCACGTTGATTCAAACATGTGGAGGGAAAAAGTCGGACCCGGAGAAAAATCCACGCGACCACGGGGAGAACATGCAAACTCAAAAAATACAGGCGTCAGGGTCGCGATCGAATCCCAAGACATCTCTCTATATAGCGGGCGAGGTCGTTATAACGCTTGGGACTCATGGAAGCAAGCGCGTGCTATGGCAAACGTGCACGAAGGCGCGCACACGTGTCTCCCACGCGTTTAGATTGTTTAGGTGATTTGGCTGCTGTACATGTCCACGTGATCTTCTTGATTCTTTCGGTAAAGTCACGTAGAAGGGAGATAATAAAATAATAAAAATAAGACATAATAAAATAAGACAATTCTCACGACGTTTCGGCCACAACGCAAGCAACCGTCCTCAGGTGAAGAACAGGTCTGTCGGAAAGACAGCGTCTGAATGAACACCACCAAGCTTGGCAGCGTATATTTAAGCTGGGTTAGGTGAGGAAGAGCGCTTTACCGAAAAAACCAAGAAGATAAATCCCTGCAGTCACGAAAGCTTTAAATGGAAATGTCCACGTGATAATAAGGCATCTTTGTCGAGCAATCGTGTGGCCAGGTCGCGTCTGGAAAAACAAGCTCATAGCTCAGTGGGGTTTAACTAGGTAGAATAAAAATACGAGTTTAGTTTTAATCTTGATTTGAAGCTTTCGTGACTGCAGGAATCCATGTTCTTTGGTTCTTTCGGTAAAGTCACGGAGGTATTTAAATGTTTTTTATACCTACGTGACTTTACCGAAAGAACCAAAGAGTTTAGTTTTACATGTAAATTTTAGGTCAGTGATATCCTTACATTTAATTTGCATTCATATCGCGTTTTTTTTATTGTTTGTTGTCGTAACGTTCTGATCCGCCCCGACTGGACATCTGTAAAAAAAAAACGCTTTGTAGCTCATCGGATTTCTGCAGTATAAATATTCAGATTTTGAATTCAAGTCAGCGTTTTAAATGCCCTCCGAGTCCTTACTTCAGAATCAGAATATTTGTTTACACTGGAAGAATCCGATGAACTATAAAACTATTTTTCATAGATGTCCAGTAGTCACAGATGTCCAGTTCTTATTAGTCCGGCCGATGGCTCCGTGGAATCGCACCTGGTGGCTTAGGGGACTTTATTTACATCCGAGCGCACCTGCCAAAAGCGTCTCGTGCCTTTGCTTGCTGAGAAGTCCATTTGTGTGCTCGTGTCGTGGATCAAACAGCGCACTTTACAACTTCAATAAGTGACCTCTCGTAGCTAATTGATTATCTCCCTTGATCGATTCGATTTTCTGTACGCATGTATATGCGCGCGTGTGTGTGTATGCATGGGGAGCGGTAGCGAAGCGGTTAGCGCGCTACGCTCCGAAACCCGGATGTCCCGAGTTCAATGCCCGCTCGCGGCCAACACCGGTGACGATTATCTGCATCGGTCCTGGGCCTGCCCTAGGTCGACTCAGCCTCAAATGAGTACCTGGTGTGGTAAAAACATCGTGACTGGGGAGACCGAGCGTGGTTGCTAGCCACCCATCCCCTCGATCCGTTCCGGCCTTTCATAGGTGCTCGCTAACAGCACTTGCCTCAAAAGTCTCTTAAAGGCTATCTGGGGGCTCTTTGTCTTTATGTGCAGCCTCCGACAATACTCCTTGCAGGCGGTTTGGTCGACGATGACTTCTCGGCGAACGTGCCCCCCTCCTCTTTTGAAAATGAGTGAAGATCACTGCCGTAGACTCACACTGCTGCACGTGTGAGCAGCCGGTTTGAAATCACAGGCGGCTGACCGGATTCAAACCACGGTGATCTGCGAGTGCCGGCTCGGCCGCTTTGACCTCTTGACCTCTGAGCCAGCCGGCCGCACCTCTAGCGCTCGCTTGACCGGATCAAGTAAAAAAAATAAAGTTGTAGTTGGTCCCTTTTGTTGTATGCATAATGTATCAGTGAGCAGTGCAAGTGCCATCTTTTTCACGTATTACACGCATTTAAACTTTTTTTAATAGAAACCACAGCCTTCACCAGCGGAACATTTGGGGAAAACGTTGGGTACTTTGCCAGGCAATACTTCTCTGGAGCAGAAAACAGATTACATGAAAGGTAAATACTTTAAAAAACTATTTTGCGCGCGTGAAAAAAAAAAAGATACTTCTGCTTCCATGGGCCATGAATTCCACAGTGCTTAGATGCGTTACTGTGCGTTTCATTTGTTTAGCGGACGATCGATAACGCTGGCAGACTCTTCGCACGACGCTCCGTTTGAAAACGGCTCCAGATCCCCTCCCGCCGCAGCTGCCGCTGCCCCCTTCCCCTCCACCCCGTCGCCCGAAGAAAGCGCGGTGGGCTGCCCCAGCGGAGGGCCAAGGAGAAGGGGGCAGCCCTGCAACTGCGTGCTCGCGCTGCTGCTGCTGCGGACGGTCTTCGGTGGCGCTTGCAAGCACCGACACGGGATGGGGGAGGCTCGCCTTCATCCAGCAGTGGATTAGCAAATGTATATAAAAAAAAATTATACTTCTTTTTTTAAAATTCACGACGCTAAACAAGACGGAAACGATTGAAAACGACAGACAGGATGAAACGAGGATCCACGTTTGCGATCGGGGAATCGCGACGATTCATCCATGCTTGTCATCATCCGCAGTACTTCTCACGATAATTATCATCATCATCATCCCCGGTACGCGAACAGGGACGAAGCTCGTTCCAATCAACGCCCCGATGTGGTGCATCGATAACAATCTGCTGGAAGACTGTGCAGGCCACGTCCACGGCAGGCGCGCATGTGATGGTGGCGCGTGCTCTTCGCCCTATTATTAGATCCGCGCCGCGCCGACCCCACTCGCGATACCGTTCCACCAACCAATGGACGCCGTTGTGCAGCGCGATACCCCCCCGATCGATGTTAGGGACATCAAATACGTCCTAATTACACTGCAGCACAAGAAGGGTTTTCTTACTGGGGATGGTTTTTTTTTTTTCCCCTGTTTTAATAGAGCCCCGTTAGCGGCACGGTTTTTTGTTCTCCTGCTTACGACGGCTTTCAATCCCGCTCCTGTTTTTTTCCCCGAGACGTTTTAAACGAGGAGTAATCCTCGCCCGCGGCTTCAAGCGAGAGAACGTCGGTGTCGGATTCGAGAGTTAAGCAGCACAATTGAAGAGGTGTTCAGTAACGAACATTTAGAAAATCAATTCATTGATTGAGACGCTGGAGGTTAAGTCCTGTAATTCACTGTGCATCTGCATTGACTGCAGGGGTCTACATTTCCCCAATGTCACACGGAGCAACTCTATACTTATAAATTAAGGGGTTCTATAAATAGAAGAACCGAGTCAAATGAGATTTCTACATAACACCGCCGTGGAATTCGATATCCTCAAAATGAGTTGTTGCTCAATTTACAATGGATTAAAATTAAACTACAAATATAAAGGGATCGCTGTGTGAACCTCTAAACATTTGTGCCGCAGAGCGGTGGCGGCGCAAGTGGACGGCACAATGCGGTATGAACCCGGTGACCCGAGTTCGATCCCGGGCTGCGGCTAACGTCAGTGGCGACAAGTCCCGAGCCCGCCCCGTTCACCAAACCCCCATCAACCAACGTGGAGAAGTAACCGTCAAATACCGCGGTAAACATCGAAGGCTGCGCCATCATCCGTTGGAGCAACGGTCCCAACATTGGGCTAACGTTGCGCATTTGCCGGGAAGCCCATGACCGACCGGGTGTGGCAGAGGCCTTGATCCAGCAATGGATTGACCACGGGCTGCAAATAATGAAGTCTACAACATGTGTTTCGATTCTACACCCCGAGTCACCCGGCGTGAACTGGCATCGTGGCTCAGCGGTAGACCGAGTGGCTCGCAATCGGAAGGTTTTGAGTTTGACTCCTGATTGGGTAGGGGAGGGGTAGGGGGAGGGTACGGGTGGGAGAGGGGTAGGGTAGGGGCAGGAGAGGGGAGGGGGAGGGTAGGGGGAGGGTAGGGGCAAGAGAGGGGGAGGGTAGGGGGAGGGTAGGGCAGGGGAGGGTAGGGGAGGGTAAGGGCGGGGCAGGGGAGGGGTGGGTGAGGGGTGAGGGAGGGGAGTTGACTAAGCCCAATCCATCCTGATGCTTTACAATCACGACCACCTTGCGGGTGAATGTCGGTTGACTCGCCCGTGCCAGAGGCATGAGCAAGCTGCCTGGAACCCGAGGCGAGAAAAAACCTCGAACTTTTGCCACCCTGAGTTTGTGTGCGTCAAGAAAGAATTTCAAACCAATGACTTACGAGTTACTTTAATGAACGCGTGTACGTGACTTGACAGGTGCAGGGAAATCACGAAACAGCGACGCGTGATTTGATAAGCGTCAACGGGTAAGGCCCCCGAAAATGTGTTGTGCCACTTGCAGGCAAGTTCAGTGCAATCTTGCAGTTGTACAAAACTACTTTTTTTCAGGCTCCTCTTGCGTCCTGACCGCCGCCGCTTTGCTCCGAGCCGTCCTCCGCGCTCATCCGGCCGCCCGGCTCCAAGCGCGCGGTGGGGGGGGCGGCCTCGCCGGCCTCCGACGGCGCAGAGCCGAGCGCCACCTCGGCGCGCTGCGACGCTTGCGCGTCCGAGCCGGACTCCTTCACGCAGCCGCAGTCCCGCACGCAAGACGTCGCCGACGTCACCGTCGTCTCCGTCGTCGTCACCTCGGCAGGACTGCCGCCTTTCGCGGCCTCGCGCTGCGACGGCACAAACAGAGAGGAACGAAACCCGCGGGGGTCAAGGTCAAAAGCGGTCACCGGCGACGGTGCCAAAGGGTCCAAAGCCGTCTCGTCGTCGTGGGACGCGGGCGACCCGAGCGGACCCAAAAGAGTAATCGACAGGTAGTCTTTCGGCACTGGCAAATGCCAACTAAACTAAAAACGAAACAATTTTATTTTCATTTTACCAGGTAAAGCCCACTGAGCTACGCAGATTTTTTTCGGAAGCGATCTCAGCCACAAACGATAGCTGATCATCACGTGGACATTTATTAGCAGCCAAATACTTTTAAATGTGGAGGAAAAAACCAGAAGACCTGGAGATAAATCCACGCAACCATGGGGAGAGAGGCACGCAAACTCCAAATATACAGGTGTCAGGGTCGAGATTGAACCCACAATCTCCTGTATACCACGCGAGGTAGTGAACATCTCGCTACCGTGGTGCTAACGTCCACCACGGAGATGGAGCGATGGAATCTGGTGCTGTGCAGGCGCCACACGCATGAGTGTAAATGCGAGACTGTTACAGATGGCGACGGCCTGGGAGGCCTTCCTCCAGCAGTGGATTTAGATTCTACTCTTGCGTGCGGCAATGTGCTCAGGAGGTCAATGCTAGCACATGACGAGAAGGCTTCAGAAGAGAGTTCGTGTCGTGTTGCTGTTCGTCCTCCTCCTTTGAAAAGTGCAGACTACAGTGGTTTACTAACTGGTCCACAGTTTGCTTTGCATAGTCACAATCGCACGAATGTAGCTGCTCTTTAATGCATCCCTACGGGTCTCTATATATCTGAATGTTTATCTATGGGTCTCTGTGTCTTTATCAGTTTCTCTGTGTGTCTCCATGGGTTGACTAAACCATCCACAGTTTGGGTTGCATGGCAAAGTGTTGCACTACTGTGGCTCGTGTCGTTAATTTTCCATTCCTCAAGGAGATGTGCGCGCACCAGGCCTGGTGACGTTCTGGCGTTGCTGCCTTACCGGTGTGCGCGCGGGGCAAACGAAAGGGTTATGGCGAACGGGGTGAATGGAGGAAACACAACAGGCAAGGGGGTTGTGCGGTAATGGCAGAGCGCCGCAGACATGGAGAGCGGCAGCAGTGGCGAAGGTTGATATCGCGAGGCAGGTTAAAAACATCAGGGGAAGCGATTTGAATTGTTCCATGACTGCCACACATGGTTTATGAGTTCATAGCCCCAACAGTCTGGAACGCAATCCCTCTGCACATTCTCAGCATCACCTCAATCGCCTCCTTCAGGAGACACTTAAAAACTCACATCTATAACCACGCTTTCGAGCGACTCTGAGCTTGGCTCCGCGCCTCTGAGTTGCGGCCCTCACGTCCGCAAATTTGCGCGCGTTTTAAATTGCATTATTATTATAGCAAACGGCAATAAATACTGTAACGGGGAGGGAGGGGGAGAAGGCACAGAGGCTAGGAGCCACCGCATTCAAAATTCAGTTTTCATTCCACCTCTGAGAAGCAGATGACAAAATAATTCTCTTGTCAACATCTGGGGTGCAGCACCCAGTTCCTACCTCGGTGCACTCGACGGAATTCAACGAGCAGCAGTCGAGGTTGATTGACGGTCAGACACTCATTCGCTCACCGGCGGTCAGTCGCCTCTCCACCACTCTTCTACCGCTATTGCCACGGTTGACTGTTCCCGTGGATCTTCGCTCGTCGACTCCTCGACCCGTGTTTTTCGTCGCCATCCATACTGCGTTCAACCATCATTACCGTAGGTCACAGTAACATTCTTGCTCACCTACTCACCCACTCATTTACTCACCCATTTACTTACCCATTTACTTACCCACCCACTCACGTAAATTGCTCATTCATTCACCCACTCAGTGATCCATGCACTCACTCACTCACCCATTTACTCACCCACCCACCCACTCACACAACTCACTCATTCACTCACTCACTGACCCATGCACTCACTCACCCACTCGCCCATATACTCACCAACCCACTCGCACAACTCACTCATTCACTCATCATGCTGCAGGCCAAAACACGTCTCTTCTCTGTTTCTTCCCAGGCCCAGCTCGACTTTGGAATTCCCTCCCATCGCCTTGTTCCCCAAGCTCTCAAAACCTTGCTCACTTGAAAAAAACGCGTTAACTGTGAATCTCTTACGACTTTTAACGGAGCTGATTGTTGCTGGCCGCTTGGCATTTTGGGCCTTTGGGCCCTGTGCGCAGCGAGTGTGATTATAAAGAAGAAAGAAGGAATAACAACACCAACAACAGCAGCAGCAACATGTCACGTGCATCTCACTTCAATTACAGAATTAAACGGCCGACCAAGAAACATGTTCGCTCTTCATGCTCCGAGTGCCCTAGACTTATTTCGCAATGCAACAGATTCCACAAATGAAATATTTCACTTCGCCCTGTGGCATCTGTGTCCCTTCAAAAGTCATGAATTTTGAGCGGCGTTGCTCCACTGGCTACGCTCATTATCTCCTGACCCGCCAAGCGACGATTTCGCATTAAATCAAAGTGACGGGGAGCAGATGTCAAAATCGGCAGGCATGATGGGGGCGTTGAAACCAATTCCCAAATATCAGAGCCCGAGAAAAAATAAACAAAGTATTTAGAGAAGACGGTCGAGTGTAATTTTTTTTATTTTTTTTGTCCGCGTTGGCGCGCGTGTGTGTTGGTGGGGAGGGAGGAGCCGTTCGATGTATTTATTAGTTTATTTATTGTTACTATTCGTGTCGCCCCCATGCCTTGCTTGCGCCAATGAGTCAAAGGCGAGTGGTGGAATTAACTCCTGTCCCTTTGCCCCTCGCGTGAAGTCACAGCTCCCAGTGTCAGTTCCACGGACAGCAGCTCCGGGCGGTGACGTGGGCCTAACGCTGCCTGCAGAGGTTCGCAAGTTTCAATCCAGTGGCCGCCCACGATTATTACTGCTGGTGTGATTATAATAATATTAACCACGAAACAATCACTGTGGATTTTATTTCGATTTAAAGCTTTCGTGACTGCAGGGATTCATCTTCTTGGTTCTTTCGGTAAAGTCACGTAGAAGGGAAGTAATAAAGAACCAAGAAGATGAATCACTGTGGAATTCATATTCTTGGTTCTTTCGGTAAAGTCATGTAGAAGGGAAATAATAAAATAATATTAATATAAAACAATAAAAATCCACAGCAAGAAAATTTGAAACTTTTAAATATTCTTGCTGTGGATTTCACACCTGATGATGATTGCTTGTGTTGCAGTCGAAACGTCGTGAGAATTTTTATTGTTTTATATATATATATTATTTTATTATTTCCCTTCTACGTGACTTTACCGAAAGAACCAAGAATATGAATCCCTGCAGTCACGAAAGCTTTAAATCAAAATCACCGTGGAAGTTAAAGAAGCGCCGTGGTGGTGAGATGTTAACTACCTCGCCTGGTATAGAGGAGGTCGTGGGTTCGATCCCGACCCCTTGACGCCTGCTGTATATTTGCAGTTTGCATGTTCTCCTCGTGGTCATGTGGATTGTTCTCTGGGTCCTCCGGTTTTCCCCTCCATGCTATACATTTCCAAATGATAAGCCACCTCGCTGAGCTATCATTTGTGACCAGGTCCGTTATATAAAAAGAGCGCCATAGCTCAGTGGACTTTACTGGGTAAAATAAAAAATAGTTACTGTTAATAGTTTAGTTTAAAGATCCACTGTCGGAATTCATAGGAGTAAGTCCATTGCGTGCCTGGCATCAGGGTTCAAACAGTCTGTAAAACTCAGCGAGAGATGTTCCCGGCTATATTCACGAATTTTTTAAAAGAAATATAGAAAGGAAACACAATCTAGTATCCATGAGGCACTGCCGTCGTGCCAATGAATACTGCATTACATCTTCACCACCCCTGCCACCCTCTAATCATACATTCAGCATGGATTTTTTTTTGCTCCACCTTGAGCTGACGAGCCGTGTTCTCAAAGCACGCAGCGTACAGGCCGACGACGGTGCTGATGATGGGGTGCGGTTAGGTGGGACGTGGTGGAGGCGGAATCACTGAAATTTAAGAGGCACCTGTCCTGCTTCAGCAAAATTTAATTTGCCAACTGAGCAAAAACAAATCTGAGAAACGTTAATTACTTTTAGAAAATGAATGTTGTGCTTGGCAAAGGTGCAGCTCTCTGCGATTGCCGACTCATGCCACTGTCTGGGAAGAGCTGGGAGCTACCGCACCTCCGATTATCACGGTTGGCGACGTACGGCGCGAAAAAAGTTCAACATACAGACAACCCACCACAAGAGACCGACCTGCTGACCACAGACTAACTCTGGTGCACACATTTATGCAACTGAATGGACAGTTACAGCGGGCGGGGCTGTGGGCGGGCAAGGGGGCAGGGAATGGAAGGGGGTGAGATTTAAGAAACGTGGCAGCGCACCAACAAATAAAACGTCAAGTGGTTCAACGTCATGACGATGCGGATAGTCGACGCACGAATGGAAAATTACAAACTCTCCGTCGGTGTGCGAGGGGTACCGTGGTCGCTCAGAACAGAAGATTCACCGTCACGAAGGAGGAGGCATCGTGACGGCAGAGATGCGCACCAACCACTCCCGCGCTACTTGTGACTCCGCTGCTGTACATTTCCACGTGATGAGAAGCCACTTTGTTGAGCTATCATTTGTGGCCAGGTCGCTTCTGAAACTCTAAGTTAATGCCTCAGAGTGGGCTTTACCTGGTAAGATAAAAATAGTAGCATTATTTTTTAAATATTTTTTTTTTAAGTGATTTTTTTTACATTTCCTATACTTTGCATTCTGTGTTGTTGGAACGTTCTGGCCTGCCCCTGCTGGACATCTGTGAAAAAGAGCTCCGCAGCTCATCGGATTCCTCCAGGATAAATACACATTCCGATTCCGTACCTCTGGCTTCAACCGGCTCAACGTCAAATTACAGTTGTCGATCTACACCAACATTAGCCGCACGGAAGGGGATCATTGCCAAAACTA